TGAACCAACTTTTTCTCTCAAATGCATTTTCGCCATAAAATTAATGTTAATTAATGTCTGACAAACGTATTTTAAGGAGTAACAATCATTTTTTAGTCAGACAGAACATTTTTATTCCGCAGTAGTAAAAGTTAATTAACGTTCGATACCTAAACTTATTTTAAGGAATAATAGTCAATTTTAGTCAGACAAAACATTTTATTTCGAGTGAATACCAAAAGTAGTAGTAAAAGTCAATTTAAGGCAGACAAAAGTATTGGAAGTACCAAATATTTAGTATTATGGCTGACTATTCCTGGTTTTCACTACTAATTTAGAAAAAATGTCCAAAAAATGCGTGTCGCGTCTGATTCAGGAAAAGAATGAAACATTTTAAAATTGTGTCTGACTAAAACTTGTTTTTACTATTGGTTTCACAGTAAATCGTGAGGTATTAAAAAGTGTTAAACACCAAAAAATATTAAAATAATCAATTTTGGTGTTATTTTTTACAATGAATGAAATTTTAGTTCATTAAATTTTTTTATAACTATAAAACATGAAGATATCGATAACTCCGAGTCTTTGACTCGGAATCATCGATTTCTTCATATTTTATAATAATTAAAGATGAACAAGTAATAAAATCATTATTTTATATTATAAAAAAATCTTCTTCAAAATTATTTTCATTATTTCAATTCAATTATTATTTTCAAAAATATTCAACTACAATTTTACTTTATATCAATTATTTTTAATAAGTTTCGAAAAAGTTCTTTGGCAATTTTCAAATCCATTTGTTTACAATATTCAATTTCACGAAATTCCAATTATTCCTAAATTCTTTAAGTAAATTCATATTAGAAAATAAAGACTTCAAATAATATAAAAGAAAATTCAATTAAGGGCATCCGGGAAAAATCAAGCCCAAAAAGTGTTTTCCCGCGTGTCGTCTCACTCCTAAATAATTAGAGATATTTAGTTCTGATTTATCATGATAATTAGGGGAATTCATGATGATAAATAATATTCTCGAAATTTACAAGTAATTTTTGAAATAAATATTGAAAAACGAAATTACAAAAGTTGGATTTTGGGCGAAAGTGGGAGACAATATGGCGGTCAGCACACAGACAAGTGGATCTATGTGTCAGTGGTCAAGGAGGTGGCGCCAATTCTCGGAAGTGGTCGCGAGTTGAACTGAGGGAAATGTATTAACCTCAAATTACTCCACTTTCAATCGTTAATAAAATAATTTCCTCGCAAAATTATTGCAAAAACGGAGAGGGCCGCTCCTCGGAGAGTCTTTCTCTATCACCCCTCCAAATATGAACCCGAAATATTTTATCCTCTCAAAATGAGACGTCTATACTGAACCGTGAAAAACCTCTTTTTTCCGTATATTTAAACAATTTTTTTCAATAATTATTTATCAAAATTTCTCCAAATTCCGAGAGGACCGCTGGTCCCAGAGCATTTCTCTATATTTACCAAAAAATCCCGACTCAAAATATTCTTTTCTTTTTAAATGAGACGTCTATCACGAAACCAGTATTATTTCCCGGATGCCCTTAAACTTTTTCAAAAAAATTAATTTCAAAATTCAATTATTTCTAAAAATTCACGCTATAAGGTAAAGGTCCCAATTATGGGACAATTTACAATTTTGTCCCTATTATGAGACAGTATTACAAAAAATAAAATAAATGCAATTAAAATTGGTCATAAGAAATTTCTACTTATTTCAAAAAATTTTACACGTTAAAAGAATAATTATTTGTGTATAGCATTTAATTTAATAAGAAATGTTTATTTGCATTTTAGCTTTTAAATTAAGGTAAGCCAAGTTTTTCGTCAGACTACCGTCCCACATTAGGTGCACTTATTATTTGCTATCCCTATTATGAGACACACAGGAAATATACAGCAAACATAACCTCAAATATTTTCAGTTTTTTCGCATTAATTTTCTACCAGAAAAATTAGTTTTATAATTATTTTTTAAACCAGGATTTGTTTATTGTGTTTTATTCTTTATAATTAATATTCAAATTATTAAGATAAGTCAATAGAATTCTAATTACTTATTGAATTAAATAAATGTCTCATAATAGGAACATTCATTATGGGACACCCGTACATACAGAAATCATAGTCCCATAATTAGTGCAGTGCAGAGTTTCATAATTTAATTAATATTATTTTTATTTCATGAAAAATAACCATTTTAGGGTCTAAATATTATTCATAACATATCAATCTTTCAATCTATACCCTAATTATTCATATTAACACTCCCGATTCCAAGAAATTTATCATAGAAATTTAGTTTAGCTTAAACAGCGTCTCATAATTGGTACTTTTACCTTATTGCTTTTAATATTCAATTATAATCTAAAATTTTAACTGAAATTCATTTTTATGATAAATGAAAATCAATTTTTATTAGAAAATTCTACAAGAATTTAATTATTTAAATGCAAAAGTAAATAATTTATTGAATAATTGAATGCTTCTCAAAATTCAATTCTCATAAAGAATTTTATTAACAAATTTTTAAATAATTGAATTCTTTTGTCGAATTTTATTCAAACTTGCATAAACATAATATTACTTTTTTCAAGAAATTCAATTATAATTGTATGAAAAATAATTGAAACGCTACGATGAGTTTTATTATTAGTAAAAATAATTTAATCCTTCAGAAGAATTTTACTACTCTTGAAAATAATTAAATTTCTGCAATAATTTGTAACTTGCCTAAAATTAAATTTGTTTCTAGTGTTTTTAACTAAAATTCTTCAATAAATCCATTATTTTTAATAATTCTTAAAAAAGTTCTTTGAGAATTTTCAAATTCATCCGTTTACATTTCAATTTTACAAAATTTCAATTATTCCAAAATTCTGCAATTAAATATATATATTGGAAAATAATAACTTGAAATAATTTCAATAAAAATCTTATTCAACTTTTAAAAAGAATTAATTCTACAGAATTGTTTGTCAAAAATATGAAAAATTAAGAATTTCAATGATTGTAATTTTAAACTTTTTCAAAATTTAATTATTTCTAAAAATCCACGTTATAATGCTTGTAATATATTTAATTATAATCTAAAATTTTAACTGAAATTCATTTTTCAAACCATTTTTATTAGTACATTCTACGAGAATTCAATTATTTAAATACAAAAATAAATAATTTATTAATTTCATGTTTCTTGAAATTAAATTCTCATAAAAAATGTTATCAACAAATTTTTTAAATCATTAAATTCTTTGGGCGAATTTTCATAAAATTTTTTAGAATAATTAAATTTTTCGAGAAATTTGATTAAAATTGCATTAAAAATAATTGAAATTCTGCAATGAGTTTTATTATTTATGAAAATAATTGAATTCCTCGAAGAATTTTATTATTTATAAAAATAATTTAATCCCTGTAAAAAAGTTATTATTTATGAAAATAATTGAATTATTGCGAAGAAAATTAAAAAAAAATTTGTAAATAATTAAATTCCTATAAAAAATTTTATTATTTATGAAAATAATTGAATGTTTGCGTAGAATTTTATTTAAATTTTTTTTAATAATGGAATTCTTTTGGAAAATTTTATTCAAATAGTAGATATTGAAAATCATTGAATTTTAGAAAACTTTTGAAAATAATTGAATTTTTGACAAAAATTTGATTAAAATTCTGTAAAATAATTGAATATCAGAGAAGAATTTTATTATTTATAAAGAGAATTGAAATTTTGACGAGAATTTTTAAAAATTTTTGAACACAATTGAATTTAGCAGCTATGTTTCTAAGTTAGTTAGAAAGTTAGTAACTTACTAACTTACTATTCTCTCTGGAGAAACTAAATTCGTTGAATTTTTACAAATCGTTGACTTTGGTGTTTTATTTAAGGTAAAATTTCATTCACAGTTAAAAATAACACCAAAATAGATTATTTTAATCCTTTCTGGTGTTAATTTAATCCTAGAGGGATTAACTTGTTGCAGATTATTTTAATCCATTCTGGTGTTATTTTAACACCTCACGTTTTACTGTGATTTGAAACATTGCCATAAATAAAATAATGTTAAGTAGTACTAGTCATTTACAGTCAGACAAAACATTTTGATTTAAATACTTTTCAAAATAAGTAGTAAAAGTCAATTTAAGGCAAACAAAAGAATAAATTTTTTTTAAAAATTCATAATTGTTGAAGATACGCCATTTTGAATTTTAAAATTAATTTTTTAAAATTCTAATATCTCGGAATATTGTTTATGGATTTTTATGAAATTTACAAATTTTTTACAGTATGTACTTTAAAATGCAAATAAAGTTAATTAAAAATAATTAATTTTTAAATAAAAAAATGTTTGTTTAAATTTTTGAGAGAAATGTTATTAACACATTTGGATTCCTTATGAATTCACCTTTAATTTAATAAAAAAAAATTGATGGAGACTCAACTGGGTCCGGAGATAGAACTGGGATTTAGGAAAAGTACCATAAAATGAGTATCATGTCTGACTAAAACTTGTTTCCACTACTAATTGTAAATAGTTGAAAAAAGTACGAGAAATTATTGCAATATATGACATAATTTTTTTTTTAAATTTTGTTTACGTTAAATTTAAACTTGTTTTCATTACTGATTTTGAAAAAGTACGAAAAATTGCATATTATGTCTGACAGAACCTTGTTTTTACTACTGATTAAGAAAATACACAAAAAATTAGACATTTCGTCAGAATAAAACCTGCTTTTATTAAAAATTTATTAAAAAACTGCGAATAAAACAGCTCTAAGAAAGAAGCAAATAAAAATTAAATTTCCACTTTAATTTTCTTCATAAAAGTGAAAATAGAATAAATTGCTAAAAAATGAAAAATAATTTTATAAAATTGCATGCTATTAAATCCTTTATTGGAATAAATAATGAAAAAATTTTTATTCTGACGAAATAGGAAATTAACTGTAATTGAAAATTGCATTTAACGTTAAAAACAATTTACCTGATAATCCGGTACTATATTGAACCCCATTGAGAACGCCCTTTGCAACTTGAGCTGTTTCCAGCTTGTAAGTGTCTTGTAACCTCATTAAAGCGACTGCAGCACCATTAAGATCCTCGTCTGTCGGAAATTTCAAGTCGCTCCGTGAACTGGTAATGTTTGCAACAAAAGCATTTACAACGTCTTGTGTTAATAATTCTTCCACTCTTTTCCAATCAGTGGTTAATCTTTTTACCAATAAATATGCATTTATTGGATTTGACAGGTACTGTTGAATATTGCGTGACGCATCCTCATGTTCCCGCGAATAATCCTCAACATTCCTGTAAAACAAAACACGAAGCAATTAGTAAGAGATACTTTTCAAATTTTACCAGTAAAAATTTTAATTAATTATTAAAATTAATTCTTAATTATTTTGAAATATAAAATTAATTTTGAAAATGAACATTAATTTTTAACGTTACAATTAATTTTGAAAATGAAAATTTATTTTTAACGTTAACATTAATTTTTAAAACGAAGATTTATTTTTAACGTTAAAATTAATTTTTAAAATGAAAATTTATTTTAAAAATTAGTTTTAATGTTAAAATTAATTTTTAAAATAAAAATTAATTTTTAACGTTAAAATTAATTTTTAAAATGAAAATTTATTTTAAAAATTTTAAAGTAATTTTCAAAATTTAAAACAAAATTATTTTTTAAATCGTATAAAAGACTAAGATAAAAAATTAACATTCCCTACAGGAAGAAACAATGTTCCTTTTTAAACAAAAAGTAACAATTATTTGGGGAATGTTGCGACGGAAAAATATTTCTACCAAGAACAAGACTTTGTCTGCAAAATTTTTGCGGTCAGATTTACACCAGAAGAATGATTCTACATGAGCTTTTGTAGTTCTGAATATTTTTCTTTCCAAAAAAATTTAATACTTTTCCATTCTAATATAATTCACTATGAAAAAAATTTATTCGATTTAAACAACCGATTATTTGTTTATCATCAAATAAATATTTACTTGAATTTTGCATTTTATTTGCAATTTGCAAACTTTTATTCAACTCAATTAAATGAATTAAATTTTCAAGTATTTGTTTCAAATACTTGAAATTATTGGTTCAAACACAATTTATTTGAATTCAATAAAAACTATTTGATTCAAGTAAATATTTAAATGATAATAGACATAAATAATCAGTTATTTGAAGAGTGAAAATGAAAGTATGTCTAAAAGCTAGAAAATTATGGGCTGAGACAAATCGATTTTTTAGGTAATTTTTATGATCTTTTTATGGTCTTTTTAAAATAAATTTTACTATTAATCAATCTTTAAAAATTTACAAAGTTTTAAAAATTTGGGAAAGCTGAAAAAGTATGAGCAAAAGTAAAATTAAATTTTTTTAAGTAAATATCATGTTACCGTAGTTAAAATTTTTTCAAATATATTTAAAATTTTTTAAATTTATTTATGACATTAATTTTGCGCCACTAAAATAGAAAAAATTATTACAATGCTTCTAAATGTAGAATTTAAGTTTTTAATTTTTATTACAAATAGTAATTTATAAATATTTCATTCATTTCAACATAAAATAAAAATTGCAGATCCTTAAAAATTAATTTTATCAAATTTCCTTAAATTTAATATTTGTTTAAAAGAATTAAGTTTTAATTAACAACTAACTGAGTAATTAATTAATAAAGAATTCTTTATAAACAAAGTTGCATTTTTTATTATTAATACTGTTTTATAATTTTTTAATTTTTAAAATAAAAAAGATTCACAAAATCTTCTTTAAATGTAAAAATATAGACTTAAAAATAATTTTATTTTAATATAAACGTATAAATAATAATAATATAAAAAGTCAATTTGTGTCGAATAAAAAAATGCCAGACAGAATATTTTAATTCGAGTTCTTTTTAAAATAAGTAGAAAAAGTCAATTTAAGCCAGACAAAAAAATTATAAGTAGTATTAATCATTTTTAGTCAGACAGAACATTTTAGTTGAAATACTTTTTAAAATAAGTAGATAATGTTAATTAATGTCAGAAAAATGTCATTTTCAGTCAGTCAGAACATTTTTATTCGAGTACATCTCAAAATAAGTAGAAAATGTCAATTTATGTCAGCCAAAGGTATTATAAGTAGTAATATTTATTTTCAGTCAGCCAAAAAATATTAATTCGAGATCTTTTTAAAATATGTAGATAAAGTTAATTAAGGTTAAGAAAATGTCATTTTTAGTCAGACAGAAAATTTTTATTCGAGTACATTTCAAATAAGTAAAGAATGTCAGAGCAAAAGCAAAAAAAACTTTAAAAAGCTTATATTTTAAAGATCATAAATTAATTGAGACTGATTTTACCATTTTTTTTCAGTTTAATTTTTTTTCAGTTCAATTTTATTTGCATAAAATTTTAACAACATTCCAAGTTTATTAATTTTTAAGAGACATAAGAGAAGAAAACTAATGAACATGGTAAATGGAGGGACGATCTAAAATTAATGTATATAAAGGAAATCAATGTGATGTTACAATTTAATATCGGATTGTTTATTATGCAAGAGGCGAAACATTCACAGTTCACATGTAATTGACATTATTGGATATTAAATAATCATTCTCTAAAGCAATTAAAATCAATTCAAAGGTATTACATAATTTCACTTATAATTTTTAAATAAACTAAAATGATGAATTATTAAATAATACACCTTATATTCGAAATAATTTATTCTCTTTAAAAATGTATAAATTGCACTTTGCGCACATTTCCCAGAAATTGCGATTTATTTAATAAATATTAAAATTGCCATCTGTTGACACGACTAAATAAATCATGTTATTGGGAAAAGTAATTGTTTTTTTTTTCATATGTCAATGATTAATAAGTTTCGTCTACATATACAACTTCCTCATTTCCTCGTGAGAGTTATATTGCGCCATGTTTAGCACAAAAAAAAGTTAGGGTGGTTGAAAATGAAACCATGTAAAAAGTTTAATGAATACGTGAGCCCGGAAAGGTAGAAAATCAGTACATAAAGTACAGTTATTTTCACTTTTAGAAACTTGCAGGCGTAGAAAAAATTTTCAAAGAAAATAATAATCTTCTTGCAAAAATTAATAAGCTCTCATAAATAGACAGGAGGAAAGTGTAATATCGAGTTTAAATTATTTTCAAGAAGAAAATTTTTTCTTTCCGGAATAATAATATAGAAAATAATTAGTAAGACAGGCTGGACTCTTGAAATTGTCCGACGAAAAAAAATTATACTACTGATAAAATATTACTATTATTTGTTATAAGTGGAATTATATAAAATTGATGATATTTATTTCTGGAATAAATATGATATTTATTATTAGATTGATCTGTCAGACCAATTCCTTGACTTATACTACTGGCTTAATTCTAACATTCGACTATGTCTGGAATATTGGTACTACTGTTATTACTTTTCAAAATAAGTCGTAAAAGTCAATTTACGCTTGACAAAAAAATTATAAGTTGTATTAATCATTTTCAGTCAGACGGAACATTTTATTTTCAAAACTTTTCAAAATAAGTAGAAAAAGTCACTTTATGTCAGACAAAAGTATTATTAATAGACTTATAATAATAGTCATTTTGAGATAGACAGAACATTTTATTTTCAGTAAATTTTAAAATAAGAATAAAAAGTCAGTTTTTGTCAGAAAAAAGTATAAGTAGTAACATTCATTCATAGTCGGACATAATATATTTTAATTCAAGTTCTTTTCAAAATATGTAAAAAAAAGTCAATTTATCTCCGAGTAAGGAATGAATTTTAAGTAGTAATAGTCATTCAAAGTCAGACAGAATATTATAATTAAAGTACTTTTTAAAATAAGTAGTAAAAGTCAATTTACGTCAGACAAACGAACTTTAAGGAGTACTAGTAATTTTTAGTCAGAAAGAACATTTTTATTCGAGTACATTTCAAAAGAAGTAGAAAACGTCAATTTAAATGAGACAGAAGATTTTAATTCGAGATCTTTATAAAATAAGTAGATAAAGTTAATTAATGTCAGGCAAATGTCATTTTTAATCAAACAGAACATTTTAATTAGAGTATTTTTTAAAATAAAGTGAAAAAGTCTATATTTATGTCCGACAAAAAAATTAAATTTATCCTATTAATTTTTAGGCGTTACCATAGTTACAATTTTTTCAATTTATTTTAAAATTTAGTTATTACATTAATTTTGCGCCACTAAAATAGAAAAAATTATTACAATGCTTCTAAATGTAGAATTTAAGTTTTTAATTTTTATCGCAATAATTAATATTTCATTCATTTTAACATAATAGTAGCTACCATTAACTATTTCATTAGAAAAATATTACTATTTTAAATCAGTGATTGACTTTTTATCACCAAATAATTTATTTTTAATTAATTAAAATGCAGAGAACAATGTTTGTCAATTATTTGTAGAAATTTAATTATTGTATTATAAGTTAATCCAAAATTTCCATCAGTTTTTGGAGTTATACTGAAGTCAAATTCAAACTAATTGTATTATAATTGATAAAATCTAAAATAAGACCTATATTGCAGGCTAAATTCACAGTTTTCCCGATTAAATTAAATTCCTGCATATTTCCCGTTTTTCCAGTTGGTAGAACCCCTGTTAAAAGTATTAGTAAAAACAAAAACCCGTCGAAGAGTATTTTCATAAAATAAGTGAATTTTTGTAGCCATTTGTAGTTTTATTTATTGTTAATTCTTATCAAGAAAATTTATATTTGATGAGAAAAGATACACCTGGAAAAATTTGGACAAAGCTGGGAAAACCGGATAGTTTGTTAAACAAAAATAATAATAGACACCTTGTTTAACTTTTGCCTTGACAATGCTCAAAACATCCCTAAAAGTTAAATCTAGAATTAAAATAACAAAACTTTTTACTATCTAAGTTTTATCCCAGTATCATAATGCAAGTATCATATCACAGGTATTCTTAAATTCCTGCAGTATCAATTTTGATAGTAATTGGTCTGTTAATTACAATTTTTCAATTTTTTGATATTAAAAACATTTTTATACTTACTTCCATCTTTTAATTAAGGACAGTATTTTTTTCAAAATTATGCTAAAATATAACTAAATAACACGCAATATTTAATTACAGAAAGTTTAAAAAATATACATTAAAAAATATAAAATTTGGAAATTTTCCATTATTATAATTTTTTTGAAAAAATTGAATACCTTCCGTTCTAATTAATATGTTTAAAATCTGTAAATTTATTGTTTATATATATCTTACAAAAGTCATAACTGATTA